ATATATATATATAATTACAGATTTTACACTTAACATAAAAAATTTAAAAAACATTAAAAATTATTAAATTAAATTACCTATAATAATATTGGCAAATACTGTATCCTTTATTCCCAGAGACTCATTTCGTCCTGTCCATGATAATTTTTGACACAATGTGTCTACCAAAACAAATTTTAATATGTTTCTTGTTTTCCCACTAAAAGAATTTCCTCCAATTCTCGCAATTTTACTATTCTGTAATTAAAAATTATATATATTATATATATAAATTTATATAAGCGATATTATTTTGCAATGTAATAACGTTTTCGGATGCAGTGGATTTGAACGTATATGATAGTTTTTTTAGTAGGTATTATACCACTATGATACACTACCCAACAAAATGAAAGGATCACTAATTGTTCCATCCTGTAAAAGTAGGCAAATTTTGAGATAGAATAACTTTGTCAAAAATCATCATATCGAGATTTAAAAAAAAGCATTTAAAGCTTGAAATCTCTACTTTTCAGACCTATATTTAAAAAAAACCGCACTATTGATATTTCATAAAGTTACACAAACATAAATGAAGATATATTAGACCTCAAAATTTTTTACGAAATTTGCAAAGTTCCACGGGGCCAAGTAAAAATTGTGCACAAATGCGGTTTACAGCTTTTGAAAGAATGTATCTTTACCTTTAATTTGCATTTTTATCGACCTCTGTACAATTTTTTTTCACCAAGTTATTCAACATTGAAGTAAAAATGACCTTTTGCTTCAACATTGATGATTGAATAACTTTTGGTGAAAAGAATTGTACAGAGGTCTTATCTAAAAAAGCAAATTAAAGGTAAAGATACATTCTTTCGAAAGCTGTAAACCGCATTTGTGTACAATTTTTACTTGGCTCCATGGAACTTTGCAAATTTCGTAAAAAATTTTGAGATCTGATGGATCTTCATTTATGATTGTGTAATTTTATGAAATATCAGTAACACGGTTTTTTTTATGTACAAGTCTGAAAAGTAGAGATTTCAGGTTTTAAAATGCTTTATAAAAAATCTCAATACGATGATTTTTGACGAAGTTATTCTATCTCGAAATTTGCCTATTTTTTGCAGGGTGAAACAAGTGATCCTTTAATTTTGTTGAGTAGTGTATAATAGCCTTAGTTTTGAGAAGTAAATACTCACAAATTGTTTCCGGATTTTTTCTGTTTGTAAATCTTTCTCCATATCTAAAAATGATTTTCTTGTTGCTAATGGAAATTCTGGTAATAAATTTGCTTCATTTGTTACGACTATTTGGTTTGTTTCCGGATTTGCAATGAAGTTGATAAGCAGATTCAATTTTCTAAATATTTTATCTTGTACTCTGTCTCTCTCTCTACGGCATGCATCTATAATAATGAAAAGAGACCAATATTAAGTTTTTATTTATTATTAAATATAGAGGAAAACTATGTAAGTGCATCACTATGTGTACAATAAATAATATATTTATTATTTAGTTTTTACATCATTTTAAATTCTAGTTTTACTCAAAATTGTTTCTCAAGGTTGTGCCAGTTTTGATTATAATATTATACATAAAGAATTTGAATGAGCAATTATTATTATCGTGGAAAAAGTTCAAATTTGTAATTTAATTTTCATAAGTAAAAGCAGAATTTTTCCTTAAAATTAAAATACGAAATTTTCAAGAGAGAGAAGTTTTATTTTTAAGAACGTGAATAAAACAAAATCTATAAGAAAGTTTCTACAGATTCTTCTGCATATTGATTATATAGGAATTATTAATTATATAATTTTATAGATGAGCCAAACGGACAACGGTGTTGTAGAAGATCCGAATAGTGCTCTCACCCGCACGCAGTGCATCTATATCTATAGCGGGCTGATTGTGTAACAATCATCATCACCCTTATCCGTTCATGGACGTTTTTTTGGATGCATGAGGGCTTCAGTGCGCTTGCACGATCGCATGTTTCGCAGCATCAGTCGCGCCACTATGCGATTCTTTAACACTAATACTTCGGGACGTGTACTCAATCGCTTTTCCAAAGACATGGAAACGGTTGATGTCGGTTGATGAGATGCTGCCCGCTGCGTTTATTGACTGTCTTCAGATCGGTATAGCGCTGCTGGGCATTATCATTGTGGTAGCCACCGCAAACGTATAACTGCTGATACCTCGGTGCTAATTGGTATTGTCTTTTATTATATGAGAATATTCTATCTGGCCACCAGTCGTAGCGTCAAGCATCTTGAAGGCATCAGTGAATATCGCAAACTCATCTTTTGATGGTCGACAGAGTATCTTCGATAGACTAAAATAAATTCCATCACAGATAGAAATTAAGATAGCATAGAATTTGCTTTTTTATATATTCTGTAAAATATACATTATGTTATAATGCAAATAAAAAACCAGACTTTAATTTCAAAAGGAGACAAATTTTCAAGTGTTTCGAGATGCAACATTACTTGCACACTATAAAATTATTTGTTGTTTTATCAAACTTTGAATTAATTTCTAGATGATACAAGCATGACTGATAGAGCGACTTCATAAGAACAAGGATTTTCTTTATAATCTTATTTCAATCTATCAATTATCTCTAAAATATACACTGAAAGAAAACTGTTAAGTACAGCGAAGCAAATATTACTTCATGACATTTTCTTCAATATTTTTTTGTTATAATCAAATTTGGTTGTAATAACGAAATATATATTTTTGTGAAATGTATCTCACTTTTTTAATTATTTGTAAGAGAAATTTCGTTTAATTCTTGCTGGAAAAATAAATTTATTTGAGACAAATTAATGTTTTTGTATAGCAATCAAACATTAGTTACAATCAGTTGATCTTTATAGGCAAATAAATATTTATTTCTGGAGAATGCATTTATTTCTCAGAAATAAATCTTTGTTTGGATCAAAGGTTCCTACTCTGAATATTGCATCAATGCAACATGGCGGAATAAGCGTTCAGATTTTCGTGTGCTGTAGTGCGTTAGTGATACAATTATTGCAAATGTAGTGCTATTATTAACATTTTGTTTTTTTTTGTAAGAGTCACCTGTTATGAGGGGAAAACAACTATATACGATCGCAAGCGCCACGCGTCGAGCAGGTATTAAGTGTGATACTTCTTATGTAGAATGTTTCGCCGAAACGCGTGCCGCCGGACATAGAATTAGCACATAAAGTATTATGATAATAATAGCAACGCGCTATTCGTGATTCATTAGTCCGTTAGATCAGAATTCGGCGAAAGTTACACATTTTGACCGATTTTCAGCTTGGTTTTTGTCCCTTATCTCATCAACCTGTTCGGTATTTAGGCTGCGCATGAGTTGATAAAGTATGCAACTTGTGCGCAGTAAGCTGAAAATCAGCCGAAACGTGCAGATCTCGCCGAGTCCTGCGTAACTGCGTTAGATCGTTCACTTCTTGGTCGTTCGTTCGTTCGTTTGTTCGTTTATAAAGCATTCATGATGTATTGCACATTCGTGTATTTTCTAAAATATAGTGTGTAATTCTTCTGTGAAAACAGAATTATCTTTTTGGAATTATTGCCGACACTGATTCATCCCGTCACCACTGTCAAGATTGTTGGTTAGCAACACCATCTGAGTTGTGAGATGCTCTCATCGATCCAACATTATGGAAGATAAATTAAAAAATATATTAAAACAACTACATTTAGAGCGTTGGAGCGACAATCTGATAAGTATCATATATTTGGAATCATATCTTATCTATGGAAAAAATGTAAAAAATAAAGCTTATGTTCTCTCTCTCTCTCTCTCTATCTATCTATCTATCTATCTATCTATCTATCTATCTATCTATCTATCTATCTATCCATCTATCTATCTATCTATCTATCCATCCATCCATCCATCCATCCATCCATCCATCCATCCATCTATCTATCTATCCATCTATCTATCTATTTATCTATCTATCTATCTATCTATCTATCTATTTATCCATCTATGTATCTATGCTTATCTATTTATTTATCTATCTTCAAAGGACAGAACTGCTATAGGGTAAACGTTACATGAATGTCAATAGTTAAAGCTTACATATATGAACATCATTAAACAAGATCGTATAAACCGTTATTTTAATTTGAATCTTTGGCCAATGCGACGTATACAAGGCAATACGTAATAAAATTTCTTTTTACATATTCAATATTTATGAAAGTACAATATAGTATAGCGTCTTCTATGATTATGGAATATTTTAATTTTTCTCTCACATTAATATATATAATTTATAACTGTAAAAAAATGGCTACTTTTTAAATATGACTACATAAAATTATCTTGAGAATACTTTTCATGTACATTGTTAAATTTATAATAATGTAATATTAACATTAAATTCTACATTATTAATTTAAATTTTTAGATAACGATGTCACTTATGATACTTTAAAATACATGATTATTAATCAACGTCCAGAACTAGCTGAAGTTATACCATCGATAGGTGCAAGAATTGCACTGCAAAATTATTTCAATTACGATTTAAAGAAAGAAAGACAAGCTTCTCCTGAATCTTTTGTGACTCCTATTTCAACGCCTTCGGTGACTCCCACTCTGACACTTGCTATTGCACCACAAGAAATGTTAGATCCTCTAGTAGTAACACCACAAGAAATGTTAGACCCTCTAGTAGTAACACCACAAGAAATGTTAGACTCTCTAGTGGTAGTACCTCTTGATAAAACACCAGTAAGCGATGATATGGAAACACCTACAGAAAATATTACACAATCACTCTTGGTTGAAGTCAGTCCTTCTGTTACAAATGATACACAAAATATTATAATATTAAACAATGATAAAGAGCTAACCGAAATACAGAAGATTGAAACAGTAGAGAACTTGAAGGTACGTACCATAAAATTCTTCAGAATTTGAATTACAATAAATTATCACTGGTATTTGTTAATGTGACTTATTGTCATGCTACCATGTTCAAAATAATAAGGAAAATGTAAACATATCTCTAAAGTATCCTAATTTATGACCTAATTACCTGATATAATAAATTATGTGATAATTTTACATAAATTACGTACTAAAATAAATGTGTGACATAAGACACACTTCTTTTTTCAAGTAAAAGTATTAAGTATAAAAGAGTAAGAACTATTTTCAATATAAAAAACTTAATTTCAAAAAAATAATTTTACAAGCTATAAAAAGTATGATACATTTTCTTGAACTTCAAACATCATCAATAAATTAATATTTTAGTATGTTAGATCAATTTTATGTTGTTCAATAATTGATTCATGTTTACTATTTGATGCATTTATCAAACCATAACGCAAAAAAAAGATAATTCGCTAAAAATATGCTTCTGTTGGATTCTTTTTACAGTTAGAAAGCTTTGATTTGAAAGCATTGCTTCAAAAAACAGTAACGGGACAAGCGATTATAGCTTCATATAACACAAGAAGTGGATTGCCACTAAAACGTCAACAGTATTTGGCAAACATTATTATTTGCTACTTTTTTGATAATAACGTTAAGTAAGTGTATACATATACATATATATATACACAAGAGTATGCACTTTTCTTTTTTTCTCAGTTTGTGTTACTAATGTATAATGTGAATGTCTATTTTTGCGAAATTATTTATAGCTAGGAGAATAATAATATATAACTGTACTTACTCTTTCAGTGTTCAATTAAATAACGACAAATTAAATAAGATTGCGAATCATATAATTACTCTCTTTCCTGCTGAATGTAAAGAAGTATACTATTGTCCACCCGTAAAAAAGAAAGATTCAAAAAATCACAAATCCGGTATCGCTAGAGGAAAATTAGTTGATAAAAATAGAAACATGTTAGCGTTTTTAAGGAAATGCCAATTGATTAGATCTTCCTCCGAGAAAGTCCAAGATAAAGACAGTTTAAACGAAGGTTGGTGTAACTAACACATTTTTATATTATATATAATTTTATACAGACTTCATTACATTCTTATTTGTAGCAAATACTGATAATGGCGAGGATGAAGTGGAGCAGAGAGAGAGTCACAATTGGCTTCGAAATAATTTTGAACCTTGGGAAGAAGTCTTGTATCATTGGGAAAAATCATTTGTATTTAGAAAAAATTTGATACATGATCATACAACTTATCGTAATTTAGTTTCAATATTTGATGATTGGAACATATTAACGTCTTCAAAGGGCTATGTATTGGTAAATAACTGTAGTATATATGTATTATGTACATATATATATATATATATATATATATATATATAGAGTATCTAACAAGTAATAAAAAAATATTACAAAAGGTCAAAATGAAGAGCAAAATCATGTATTTCTTTAAATTCACAATAGTTATTGAATCATTAATTAAAATGTCTGGGGAAATCTCTAACGTATTATTTACTGTAATTTAGTTAATGTATTTGTACTGTTGCCTTGTAATGTCACGTAGCATCATTTTCAGAATAAAAATCATGCAAAATTCGAATGTATTTTTTAATTATAGATTGAAAAGGATTATTTACGATTACATAAAGACACGTATAAGAATGTTCAAGAAAAATTTAATTTGTTATTCGATGCTGTCTTGGAATTGAGAGGCAAAGAATTGGATTGTACCAACAAACTATTGCTGGATATGTTAGACAGCACTATTCCAAATGGTAATGAAAAATGGAATAATTTGTATAAATGTTTATTAATAATGTTTTTGTTTCAGATTCGAAAATTTTAATTTTGTAAAAAATTTATTTATTATTTTCGCTTTTACCAAATAAATCGCCAAAAGCAAAAGTTGGCAAAAATATCTTCAAACCAACTCTAGTTGAATCACAAGAAGCTGTAGTACTTCATGTCAAAGTCTTTAAAATCTAAATATATTTCAGTTCCTCTCTTTTGTTCTTTGAAAAAAGATCTAATTGTGAGTATTATATTATTTTAGATTCCTGGTGACGTAGAAGAGGAAATAAAAAAGAAGAGAAATTGGCTTCAAAAATTCAGATTGACCTTGCAGCCTTTTATAGTTGTAGTAGGACCTTCTATAACAGAAATTCAGTCAATTTTTGTAAGAATCGATGACGTCTCGTATAAAGTGAAAACAGTGTTCAAAGCTTTGGAGATATGTTTTATGAGTTTTGTCGTCCTGGACTTGAAATATCCACCTGCGGCAGAACACATCTGGTATTTACTTCAAAGAACTGTTTTTGATTTAGAATTCCAAGGAGATAACAAAATCCCTATGATTTGTGATGTGATAAAAAAAATATCTAAATAGTTTTTACCTTGGAATTACTAATATATTATATTAAAGTTTTGTTTTGATATTCTAAATGTTTATAAAAGTATAGACTCTTTATTTATCAGTTGATAATTTTATCAATTAGTTTTCGTAAGAATCCATAACATTCATGAAAACAGTGTTTAAACTTTTAGGAATAAGTTTTTACGTCTTTTGTCGTTCTATACTTTGAATATTTACCTGCGGCAAAACACATCTAGTATTTCAAAAAACTTATACAGAATTCCAAGGTGAAAATAAAATTTTATGACTTATGTGATTACAAAATATGTAAATAGTTTTTACCTTGGAATTACTAATATATTATATTGAAATATTATTTTTATATTCTAGTGTTTATAAAAGTATAGACTTTTTATTTGTTAGTTGATAATTTTATCAATCAGTTTTTATAAGAATCCATAACATCGTATAAGATGAAAACAGTGTTCCTTTAGAAATAAGTTTTGTCTTTTGTCGTCTTAGACTTAAAAGTCACCTACGGTAAAACATATCTGATACTTCAAAGAATTATTTTTAATATACAATTCCAAGGTGAAAACTAAGTGTTTATATAAAGTCTCAGGTAAAAACACTTTATAGTATATTTAATCTAAAATTACGAATATCTATTATTTTAAAAATGATTTGTACTGTTTGTCATCGAGATTTTGAAAGTATCGAACATTTAATAAAACATATGAAGGCAACTCATATTTATGAAGAAAGATTTCAATGTGGTTTTTCTAAGTGTTTTAGGAAATTCGTTAACATTCAGTCTTTAAAAAAACATTATAAAACTTTGCATAAAGAACTTTGTAATAACAATGATGTATTGCTTTCATTGAATAGATTTACAAATGTTCACATTACTGATGAAACATCATGTTCAAATAATACTGATATACTAACTGTTGACGATAGCAACAAATCTAATGTTAAAGCTGACGACAGAAATATTCAAGATATGATTGAAATTAGTATACAAACAATCGATGATGCAATATTGAAATTCATTGCGAAGCTATATAGTAATACCTCCATTACTAGAAATATTGTGCAAATTTTAGTTGATGATTGCTCAGAACTTGTACAAGATTTACTGTCACATATAAAAGACAAATTACAATCTGAAACATCTTTTTCTAAGGATAATGATGTTTGTAAAGTGTTCAATAATGTCTTCAATAATATAAAGCCTTTTGAAAAATATTCGACAGAACACAAACGTTTAAAATTTTTAGAAAAATCTAAGTGGCTTGTACAACCACAGAAATTTCTTATAGGAGAAATGTTCGATAATCAGAGAGATAAAAATTTTACAAAAGTAACATAAAAAAGTGTGAAGGATACTTTATTCCGTTACGAGAATCACTAAAACAATATTTAGAATTACCGGGGGTATTCATGTCAATCAAAGATTACATTGTAAAAGAGTCTGCAAAAAAATATATTTCAAGTTTTTTTTACGGAAATGTGTGGAAAAATTTAATTATGAAAAATAATGATAAACTATTACTGCCTTTGTTGTTATATTATGATGATTTCGAAACGGGAAACCCCTTAGGATCAAGATCATCTATATATAAATTAGGAGGTCTGTATTACACAATTGCAGGTATACCAAAAGCTCATGCCTCATCTTTAGAAAATATTTTCCTTGGTGAACTTATATATAGTGGAGATCGTGAAACCTTTGGTAATAAAGTGTCTTTCAAACCAATTATTAACGAATTGATTCATTTAGAAATGTGTGGTATTACTATATGCGTCGATAATAATAAAAAGAAGAGAAATTGGCTTCAAAAATTCAGATTGACCTTGCAGCCTTTTATAGTTGTAGTAGGACCTTCTATAACAGAAATTCAGTCAATTTTTGTAAGAATCGATGACATCTCGTATAAAGTGAAAACAGTGTTCAAAGCTTTGGAGATATGTTTTATGAGTTTTGTCGTCCTGGACTTGAAATATCCACCTGCGGCAGAGCACATCTGGTATTTACTTCAAAGAACTGTTTTTGATTTAGAATTCCAAGGAGATAACAAAATCCTTGCATTATTTGATATAATGCATGATTTATATGAAGGAGTTTGTAGATACGTCATAGCCAAAATTATAAATCCTTTAATAAAAGAAAATTGTTTTTCTCTTAAGTTATTAAATAGCAGAATTAAATATTTTAATCACACGTGTAATATAGATATGGGGAATTCAATTCCACCAATAAACGAGCATCATCTAAAGCAAGATTGTTTAGTAATGTCTTCTTCTGAAATATCAGCTCTTGTAACATATTTTGGAATTTTAGTTGGTGATAAAGTTTCGGAGGATAATCTATTC